TTTCTTTCTGAATATATTTTCCAATACTATTTGGTTAGATAAGAGGTTGGCCTAGTGAAGTCTTGTCATTATCTACCCATGGCCTGAAAGTTTTTTTAGAGTTATATTTTCAGAATGATAAATATAAATGATAAGATTAAAATCTGGTTTAGACTGAATGGTGTATTTACTCCTAAAGGGTAGGTGTATGAAATTATTAGTTTGCTTCTTGTGTAAGAATAATTAAATTTTGGTAGGAACATATTTAGGAATTTTTTTTAATTAAAATTACACTAAGTGCATTGTTTGGAATTAAAATAATTTAAATAATTCTACGACCTCAATTACCGATTATCAGTAAAGTGATTTAAATTGCGGCATTAGAGCCTTTCTCTCCAAAGGCAATTTTTTTAAAGTTCTCAAGGACAATTTTCTACGTGATGGTTATAGTAAACTATTTCAAGAGTGTACGGGTCACTCATATATGGACGTATAATTGTGGTTGTAGACTAGGAATCAAGTAATGTGTCACACTTAGAGAACAAATAATTATGGTTTTTCAAAGAAGGTCCATTTTTATTTGCATGGGCCGAAAGTAGACCCATTAATAATGTGTAGATTTGTCAACACAAATAATTAATGGGATAAAGCTCCCCTCATACCACGGTGACCTGCGAGGATTCAGTATTTTGAAGTGTCAGTGAATTTAATAAATTATTATTTAAGGAATCAATATTTGAGAACTAAATTCGAAGACTTGACTAAGAATTTTTCTTTTTATTTGCATGATCTAAAGACTTCAAAATGTTTTTTCAATCCTCTATATGTGATTCTAAAAAAAAAAATAAAAAAATTCTGGAACCAATTGACTTGAAAAAGGAATATGGACATTGTGTTACAACGAAGAGTACAAGGATGTACTCACTGAGGCATATCCGGATGTGCTCGGTGAAGGGGTAACAGATTAAGGAAGGAGGAGTATGCGGAAGAAGGTCGATGAGATGTCGAAGTGTTACATTATGGTACTTATGTCGAATGTGCTCCAACATCAACATCTGTCTACGCTTTTCGCGACAGACATACTCTTCCATCTCAAGGATCTATTCGGGTACCAATCACGGGTTGCCCGACAAGAAGCCATGAGGGTACTAATGAACATGCGCATGTGAGATGGCACTCCCATGAGGGAGCATGCTCTTGGGACATGGCACAACTCAACGAGTTGGAGGTCCTAGGGGCATTTATCGATGGGGAAACCCATGTCGATATTCTGCTCCAGACTCTACCAAAAAACTTCAATCAATTTCGATTGAAATAAAACATAAATAAGATGTCGTTGTCTCTTCCGGAGCTGCTTGTGGAGCTTCAATCGACGAAATGTCTGTTTCGTCAGAGTGCTCAGGTGCTAGCCACCGAGCAAGTTGGACCTTCTTCTTATAGGCCCAATAAAAGTAAGAAGAAGAAGAAGTTTGTAGGAAAGACGAAGGCACAGTTGGTAGCAGTCGCCCCGCGACCAGCCCCTCAGTCGATGGCAAAGAAACCAAAAGGCAAATGCAACAACTGCTTGTAGAAAGAACACTGGAAGGCTAACTGCCCTCTCATCCATAAGGGCAATGGAGGTAAACCTCTTTCATTAGTCATCGAACCATGTTTAGCGAGTATTATCTACCAGTATCTAGTTTGTAGATACATGAGCCATTGATTATATCTGAAATTCATTGCAGAGGTTCCACAAAAACCAGACGGGTTAGGAAAAGATAAGTTGTCTACATGGGCAACGCCTGTAAGGCAACAGTTGTTGCAGTGGGAGACGTCTTTTTATGTTTTGTCTTCGATAGAACTTTAGTTTTAAATAATTGTATGTATGTTTCTAGTTTTAGAAAAAATTCAATTTCAGTTTCTAATAATGTTGCAAATGGTTTTCCTGCTTCACTTTAACATAAAGTTATTATTCGGTTTGGTAAGAAATTTATTTGCTCTGGATCATTAGTACGCAATTTCATGTCTAGAAGGTAAGATGGCCAAGAGGTCATTTATAGACAAGAGCATAGGGTGAATGATCTGTTAGAAATCGTTCACTCCGATTTATGTGGTCCTATGTCACTCCAGGCTAGAGGTGATTTCGAGTACTTCGTTACTTTCATCGAAAATTACTCAGGATATGGGTATGTCTACATATTGCGCCGCAAGTCTGAATGCTTTGAGAAGTTCATGGAGTATAAAACAGTTGTAAAGAATCAACTTGGTAAAAGTATCAAGTCATTAAGATCATATCGTAGTGGCAAATACCTTTCGGGAGAGTTTAGGAACTACATATCGGAGAATGAGATTCATTCCCAGTTGACTGTCTCAGGTACGCCCTAATAGAACGGTTTAGCAGATAGAAAGAATAGGACTCTTATGAAAATGATTAGTATAATTATGAGTTTAGTAGCTCGCCAGATTCATTTTGGGAATATGCCCTGGAAACATAAGTTTACATTCTGAACGGGGTACCATCTAAATAAGTGTCAACTACAGCATTAGAGTTGTGTGTTGGGCACAATTTAGTCTATGACACCTCCATATATAGGGTAGTCCAGCACATGTGCTAAGGGCATATACTGATAAGTTGGAACCCAAGATAGACGTAAGTTGTTTATGGAATATTCTA